GAGAGAGAGAGAGAGAGAGAGAGAAGTAGCAGCGAGCATAAGACATCCAAATGACAGCCCGTCATCTGCTATGTGAAAATACAAAACCAATCTACACCACACGCGAGAGAGAGAGACAGAGAGAGAGAGGGAGAGAGAGAGAGAGAGAGAGAAAGAGAGAGAGAGAAAGAGAGAGAGAGAGAGAGAGAAAGAGAGAGAGAATGTGTAAGCGTGAGAGATAGATAGATAGATAGATAGATAGACCGATCGATAGATGGAGAGAGAGACAGAGAGACAGAGAGAGGGGGGCGAGAGAGAGAGAGCGAGAGAGAGAGAGAGAAAGTAAGAGGAAGACATAGGCTCTGAAAAAACCTGAATACGTTCTGTTTGTATACCCTCCAACCATCCCTTGGACTCTATTCACACATCATAGTATTATCCAGCATCATCAATATACTACTGAAAGAAAGTAGCAATCAATGCCGCGGTCTGGTGTGTGTGAGTGCGTGTGTGTGTGAGTGTGCGTGTGCGTGTGCGTGAGTGCGTATGCGCGTGTGTGTGTGTGTATGTGTGTGTGTGTGTGTGTGAGTGTGTGTGTGTGTGTGTGTGTGTGTGTGTGTGTGTGTGTGTGTGTGTTTATGTGTGATTACACGTACACACGCTTACACACACCTTGCAGAAACTATTGGTATCTAACTTTTGGGGGAAAAAATGAAGGGGTAACTTTGTCTTATTAATAATGTCCAAGTTGCACTCAGTAATATAATAGATTTAAAAAAACAAACGCAACCAACTACAGATTAAATTTCTTTTTGGCGACCAACTGACTTTTAAGCTCGCAGTTATCAAAGTGGAGTATGTTCTTATTGAAGTGACATTAGTTTGCACTAATGCACCACCACCCCCAGTTCTAAGATAAGCAGAACAAACATCCAGATAAGCGAAACAATCCTGCAGGTTAAAGTGTCACTAAAAGGATTTTATTACAGCTACATCATAAGATCAGGTACAAAAACTCCCCCCTCCCCAAACCGCCCAAAAACTTCAAACACGGAATTTAATTCTTGGTAGAGGCTCGCTCCATCTATTTAGATACTTCAACTAGCTAATGAATCCTGAGCAGTGCCCCTTGTCTTTATTAATTTGAATTATTTTTAAAAAATGGAACCCTTCAATTTCAAGCTCACCTTCCATTCTTGAAATATGCTGTACTCAGGCTCAGGGAAGACCAAGGTAATCAGTAAAATGAAGGAGAAGAAGAACAGTCATGAATCTAATAGTGTGGTCTGTCCTGACTCCTAATCCAGAGGTCTGTCACATACACACGTATATGCGATTGATCCACGACAGGTCACTTCTCACAGTTTGCAAACACACGTACCCCATGCAATAAACACGGACGTAGTCTAATATCACACTGGGAGTAATGAACCGATCCTCTGTTTTCTTCTCTACCGTCGCTGGAATACACCGCAGGCGTCAGCCGACTGTCTGGTCCCTCGCTCCGTTGCCATAAGCCGAGGCCCTATCAATGTCAGCATAAGACCCATATAATACCCTCCCCTTCCCGAATCGTGTCCTTTATTCCCGTCTCTCTGTTTTTGCTCCCTCCTTTATTTTTCTGGTTCCTAAGTCTTTATTGCTTCCTTGGGGGCTTCTTGCGCAGATGTTGGAAAAGCGATCGATTTGTCTCCAAATGTAACGACCAATCAATACGGAACAGGACGCAAGGACGATGTGTTTGATAACTCGGTATTGTACGACTGTTGAAAAAGATAAAAGACCATTATCCTAGGTCGAGTATGACAAAACCCACAGTAGAAACACAAAGAGTATCGTCTTATTCTTCTCAGCAAATCAACCATGTCGCCTTGGAGCACAGTGTGCTTATTCATCTCACCCTTACTGCTCTCCGAGATTCGAGGTCCTACCTTCCAGTTCTTTAAGAAAAACGAAGTTCTTCAATTGCGGTTAGGGCCCCCCACAGACAGAAATGTTAGTCGTACTTAAGGACAGATAAATGGAGTAGGTCCTATTCATATTGAGACTTAAATTCACTACAAGTAGGTTTGAATTTTGCAGCTCGTCCCTGTCGTTCTGCGTCTCAAAGTAGTGGGGCAAATGACGGACCCCCCCCTCCCCCTCGCTTTTCCCATTCTTATGACATATTGGGAGCCAAACGCAACAGGAAAATGAATGCACGAATATAACAGCTTTATTTTTACACAAAGGCAATTAGTTAAGAAGTAAGAGAGACTTTGAACACTGTTATTTCTCAAACTCTATTATTATTCGAATACAATCTTGATTGCATAACAGATCATTTAAATACATTTTCTTAAGCTTCTTGCTCTTTTCTTTGTTCGTTTTTTTTACCCTCCAAATATTCACAAACAGAGACTTTTATTTGTGCGGTTTACGTGATGTAGGGGAACTTAATTAAATCACCGACTGTCGGCAAGACCAATGCTATAAAAGTTGACAATCTACCCGCAATAGTGTGGAACGCGTAAAACATGGTAACCCATTATTTGGTGAAGAAGGCCTGTGGCCAGTCTACAACC